TTTTTATGTGTATTTGTACATATTTTAAAACAGTTGACTAAAAATAAGCAGAGTTTAATTTCTGAAAGTGGTTGAATAAACTGCAATAATCCCCAAATCACCACCTATACTATGTTTTCAAAAACTGAATTCTATTACACATCATGGAATCAACCTAGCAGGGTATAACTAATGAACTTGATGAACTCAATAAATTACAGGAAATGTGTTAAAAATCTGGCAAACATTTTGAGAAAAGTCAATAACTTTTTTTTCTTTTTTTTTGCAGTTTTTGGCCGGGGCTGGGTTTGAACCCGCCACCTCTGGCATATGGGACTGGTGCCCTATCCTTTTTGAGCCACAGGCACTGCCCCCAAAAGTCAATAACTTTTAATGAAAAAGTATATAAGAATTGTTGCCTTGTAGAAATACTTAAAAAATTTATAAAAGTTTATTGCTACTATCCTGTTCTGGTAGGGAATGAATACTAAACTTACAGAACTCAATGCTATGAATGCATTTCAAAAAATGGAGCAGGTAGTCCATTTTAGCAAAAAATAAAGTCAGTTTTGTTTACTGATAAAATAGAAGAAGAAAAGTTTGTGTGAGGGCCAAATGTGGTGTCTTACACCTGTCATTCTAGCACTTTGGGAGGGCAGGAAGTCAACACATGCATAAGCAAGAGTGAGACTTTGTCTTTCCCCAAAATAGAAAATTATCAGGGCATGCATCTGTAGTCCCAGCTACTCAGGAAGTTGGGGTAGGAGAATCACTTGAGTCCAGGAGTTTGAGGTTTTAGTGGACTATGGTATTGCTACTACATTCCAACCTGGATGACAGAGTGATTCCTCCCCACCAGAAAAAGAAATAGGATAGTTTGGGTGAAATTGCAATGCCTAGGTTGTGCCAATGTTGCAAATATATTATAATATGGTAGTTGCTCTGTAGAAGAACCTGACTTTTCATAAATTAAAGTTCTCCTACCAAGTCAATGGCTATGTATGTCTACCCCTCCCTGCCACCATAATTTGATTAACCCTGAAAGATAAAAATAAAATGTAATAAAATCTGTTAATGCCTCTAAGACAATGTATTAACTGGATATGTCAAAAACACATCTAGCAGGTTTGTTTTTTTTTTTAGCTTAAAGGATACCCCCAAAGAGAATCAGGAGAGGAAACTATATTTTTCCCTGGCTTGACTCTAAACTTAACCTTTTACTCAGGTTCCCCTTCCTTTTTTTCAAAACCTTCACTCTTTCTTTTTAAGAATGGAAAAAAGGGTGATGACCTACTTCCTGCTGAGGCTGAATATTACAATCATATAAAAAGACAAAAAAAGAAAAAAAAAGGAACCTCACTACTATCCACAGGATTACTGATGATTGCAGTTACAAATGTTTAAGATGAAATTTGCCTGCAGTGACACTGAAATTGCATATCCAGAAAACCAGTAATTGTGCTAGAATATACTAGCACATTTCTATGTACTAGTGTATACAAGTGCATGGCAGCTCCCTAGAGAGACTTACACAAATGATGGAAGATATTAAGTAATTGAAAGTTTGTGTTTTACTGAAAT